GGGGGCAATATGCTGACTCTCTGTAAACCGCTTAGAGAGGCCTGAAAGGCCTATGAAGCGGTATATAAGTCTACTGCTAAGTCTACTGCTATAATGCGCCCAATACTCATGAATAAAGGCAAATATACATGTCCCAGGATAATGTGGCAGGATCCAATCTGGGTCAAATGTAAAGTTTAATGACCAATTTAGATTGGATTCTGTACCCAAAGCTATTGCATTTTAATACATTTTCACCTTTTGCCATTCATATGATGCCATTACTTCCCTCTACTACAGATCTACTATTAGTTAAACCTTTCCATCAGAAATAGATTTAACACACCAACTTTGATTGGTATACTAACTCTGCTCTTTCCTGGACAAATGCAGCCTAGTTGCAATTGTTCATGTGCTGGCTACTTCATATTTAGACTGGTACCATGTGCTTTATGAGGAGCTACCTTATGCTTGGTTCAGAGACTGCAGCTGCAACTGCAAACTGCCATAGCCAGATTACTGAGTGGAGCCTTTGACCATGTACTTACCTACTGAAACAATGAGTTACTTACCCAGAGAAACAATTATGTTGTACAAGGCCATCGTTATTGCTGTTTTGATTGTAAATTGCTTTGAAATTCTGAGCCATAAGAAATGGTACATTAATATATTAAATAATAACTAATAATATTTAGATCCTTCTTGCTCTCTTTTTAAAACTTGGTGTTACATTGACCACCTCCTACAATAGGCATCCATTACATTAATTATTTTAATGAAAAATGCACATGGAGACTATTCTTGCCCTGATATTTACTACGCTGATGTTTGAAATTTCAAAGTGGACATAAGGACTTTGGAGTCACCTGGGAAATATTCAAAATAGTAGTACTGAGCCTTTTAGTAATAGTATTCAATTTCTCCCCAACATTTTTATATACCAAATTTTAATAAGATGATCCTTCTAACATTCTGCTTTCTAGAAGTTTTATATTCCTGCAGGTATCTATGGAGATTCTGAATCATCCAGGTGATGGTTGTCCCAAAATTGCTTTTCAACAGGCAACTGGACTTGCCTATTTTTTTTTCCTTGAAAATATTTTGCTTCTCATCCAAGCAGCTTTCTCTGTTCTGGCTGAATGGTGGGGAATAGAAAGGTTTACATTCTTAGTAGTCATCAGCACTCTGAAGGTTAATTGTTAGTTCTCTGAGATTTGTTGAAGCCATTTGGGGATTTATCTGCGTGACCTGACAAATGCGTGCACGTCAAAAGCGCACCGACGTAACCGCAGCGACAAAAACCACGATGTCATACACGCGCCCATAACAATGTGCCGACAAAACCGCGCCCACAAAAGCGTGATTTCAGTTAAGGTAAGGGTTAGGTTCAGGATTCTGTTTAGGGTTAGGTTTAGGGTTCGGTTTAGGGTTAGGGTTATTCGGTTGTTATTACTTGTTGGTTGAAGGCGCACTTTTGTCAGTGCGCTGTTGTCGGCACGCTTCTGTGCTCATTCGTCAGCGCGATTTCGAACTCACGGTTTTTGTCACTGCGGTTTCGTCGGCGCGCTTTTGTCAAGCGCGCATTTGTCAGTGAACCATTTATCTGTACCCTCAGGATCACCTGCATCAGAGGGCAAATGGGTAGGGACCTTCTTGGGGCTGCTGAAAGGGCTGCGTTGTAGTCCACGATTCTCAGAGAACTAATGACCAACCTTCACACTGCTAATGACCAGATGACTGCTAAGGAATATAAATCCTTCCATTCCCCATCATTCAGCCAGAACTGAAGAAGCTTCTTGGATGAGAAGTGAAACGTTTTCAGCAAAAAAACCCCAAAAAGTCCAGTTGCCTTTTGAAAAGCATCTTTGGGATTTCTGCAGATGGATCTAATGGAATCTTCTTCCAGGCAAATAATTTTGCTACTGCCATTCTTTCAGCTTTAACTGATAAATATAATCAAAATTAATAAGCTTAATTGCTTTTACATTTTTTGTCAGCATTTATAATACTGCACTTTTACTTATTTTACCTTTCTTCTTCATTAACAGCTCCTGAACACTTCCCTGCAGTCAGAATTTTAGAGGCCTCCGTATTCCTTTGATCTTCAGAATCACTGTCTCCTTCTATATTTCCTTGTAGACTTGGTTCTGGAGATTGTTTAGTTTTGCCTTCAAAAGTAAAAGTCATGCAAAGCTATTCCCCACTGCCGCTTTATGCACAAAAATATTTCTTGTGCAATCTTTGTCAATAAAGCAGTGAGGCTGCCCTTCTAGCCAAGATCTTGATTTTTCTCTCTTCTAGCTTTTGTTAAAACTTACTTTATTTTCCTTTAAAAAAATGTAACCACAGAAACAAGGGGAGGGACATACGACTTAGCAATAGATAATAAAATATTCATTGAGAATATTCATTTCCGAGAGTAAATGACAGGATTTAAAATTTTAAAATATCATAGCAGAATTTATTTAAGAGATTGAAAAACTAATTGAGAGCCAGTTTGGTGTGGTGGTTAAGGCATCAGGCTAGAAACTGTCTTTGGCACATAGCCAATTGGATGACCTTGGTCAAGCCATTTCTGAAAATCTTTCTTTGCAAGAAAATTGTGCAGGCTTGTCCAGACAATCTCCAACAATCTGACATGATCACAGTGGAGGGGGGGGGGGGGAAACAAAGACTCTAAAAATATTTTTTTCAATAAACTGGGGTAAACAAAAATAATTTGGACAATTGCATTTGGCAAAAAGAATAATTATTTACCAAACTAAATCAAAGATACTTTTCTAGTATATCACAGCATCTGCCATCTTTTATACATCAACTTTCCATATAAAAAAATCTAATAATGGAGGCTTCGTATTATTCCATTATTATGCTATAGCTGCACTTGCTTATATTGAATCATATCAATCATCATGTATTGAACCGTTATGTTTTCCATTGTATGAGCTATCTCCCTAAATAAAGACAGTAAACATATCTTGGGAGCATAACTAAATTGTCCAATACCCATGCTGTTAATCCCTCTGATCACTTTTGTCAAGAATCTTTGTACAACCTCAAGGACTACCACACATGCATATAGGTACCTTTTGTTTTACCAAATTTCCAAAAATTATTTGAACGTCTCCCAACTATTTTTAAAAATTCTATGGAGATATAATAATATTTAAATAGTGTTCTCTGATTTTTGCTTATCTAGAACATAGCATAGAGTTCTACTATGTGTCTACTCTATGGTATTGATTCTTAAATCTGATTCCCATGTTTCTTTGAGAAATGTCTAACCACTACTAACAGTATTTTATATATTTTGGATATTAGACTTTTAGAAGACTCTGAAGGTTCTAACATAAGATTTTCAAGCCTGTTAGTGGTCGTGATTCTATCCTATTATAGATTTTATTTTTAACACATCCTCCCCCATTTCACCACTTAGGAGCCAATTAAAGTTCATTCATGACAGTTACTGTTTTAAAATATCTTCTGGAATAACATCTTTGTCTACAGACATTACTGGATAGCTCTGCAGAAAAATTTGGGATCCTTAATAGGCATTAATGAAAAAGAAGCCAGAACTATTTTTTCTCCAATATTTCCAATAAATCCTCAAGAGAATAGTCAAAAAACTTGTTAATACATGTTGGATTTTCTCACCTTTGAAGTACAGAGCAATGCACAACCTCAAAGATTTTCACCTTACTCTGCAGTCAAAGGATTTTAAATTTGGTTTACATTAGTACAAAGGAGATTTGTCTGCTCCTACAATCTAACAGTGTAACATGCAGACCATGAAAAGAAAAGAAAAATATACAAGTATGTGAGATTCTGTCTCATGGTAAAAACTCTGGATTTTTTTAATTGGACCAATTCTCTCATATATATTATGAAAGTCAGAAATTAATCTACATGTTAACCTTTGAGTACATAGAATTTACTTTACAGAAATTCTTTTAAGAAAACCAATCTGTCATTTATGTAAAAGAGAAGATCCACTGATTTCCTAAGACACATGTCTGTGAAGATGTGGAAAGCAGGATAGAAGATTGAATCTTCTCTACAAGTTCTCATGTATTCAACTAATGAGAAAATCATCCCAAATGATTACCAAGGTAGAAAGAGTAAATGAATTTGGGTTGAAAAAAACAATAAAAACAAATAACATTGCTTGTTTTTAGAAAATCCTCCTCAGGATTTGGAATACATTTCCTAAAAAAGATAAAATGAATTATTATGGTAAATCTGAACACCTCTGAGACCCAAAGCTCACCATATCTCTCCATCTAGCTCCAACCAATATAGAGAAAGATATGGAAGCTATTTCCTTAGGCTGAAATTCGTAAAGATTCTGAAATAAAGAAAAGATTATCACTGAACTCACTGAACTAGAAAAATTTCCATTTTTTTTGCAAGATTGAGGAATCACTGGTATTTTCCAGTAAGAGAGAAAATCGTAATCTCCAATGGTGAACAAATTTCTGTATCATTACATATATTATATCAATAACTCTAGGTTGGCCAATGTTAGATATACATGTATTTTTGGTAAGGATCCAGGTTTGCTTTACCTGAAATAGACTTTTGGTCTTCAAGTTTCAATTCATTGTTTCCTTTCAAAGAAATGTCTAAAGGCTGCTTCTTATAAAACGGATCTGCAGAATGACTTTTCTTCAATATTTGGTTATGATTGAAATTTTGTAAATAATCTCTTTGGTCCGCAGGAGAAGAATCACGAGATGTACTGTCCCAATCAGTGTTGCCTCTACTGGGACATTGTGGAAAATAAGGGACAGGAGACAAACAAACCGATCCAGGATAGTTCTGCGTTCCATCATCTTTGATTGCAGGAGAGCCTTTCATTTAAACACAAAATGACAGATACTAAACTGATTTGTGGGAAACTGGAACATTCACCTTTTCCATTCTTTTCTGCATCTGCTATTTATTATCAAGGAAAGCCTGAAACACTTAATACTTTGCAATTGTACAGATACATATTTTGAACCAGGGGTGAAATCCAGCAGATTCTGACATGTTCTGGAGAACCTGTAGCAGAAATTTTGAGCAGTTCGGAGAACCAGCAAATGCCACCTCTGGCTGGCCCCAGAGTGGGGAGGGAATGGAGATTTTGCAGTATCCTCCCCCTAAAGTGTGGTGGGAATGGAGATTGTGCAGCATCATTCTCCTGGAATAGGGTGGAAATGGAGATTTTGCAGTAGACTTCCCCTGCCATGCCCACCAAGCCATGCCCATCAAGCCACACCACGCCCACCAAGCCATGCCCACAGAACCAGTAGTAAAAAAACAATGAATTTCACCACTGTTTTGAACTAACTGTATAGTTAGATAGGGTAGAAGAACAAATTTGAAAATCTTAGGCTGAGAATTTTTGCATTTTCATTCATGTATCTCTTACCCTTATTTTTACAAATTATTTTCAAAAATACAAATGTACCATTTTCCTATAGTCAAAACTAATATTTATTCATGTGAATCATATTTATTTCATAATTCTGAAACAGCTGAATCATTTGTTTGGATTTACCAAGCTTCATCAGTCTCCTGTTTACCTACTTAGTGTGTAAAATGGGTGTCATATTTTCCACACCTATTTAAAAAGATGATTTACAGGTAGTCCTTGACTAATGACTGTTCATGTAAAGTTACAATGGCCTTGGAAAAAAGTGACTTATGATCTGTACTTGCACTTACAACTGTTGCCCCCACCCTGCGGCTACATGATTGCAATCTGAGTGCTTGCAACTGGCTTCACATTTATGACAGGTTGCACCTCCCTGCTATCAAGTAATAATCACAATTTGCTTTTTTTTTTGCTGGTAAAAAAACACCCAATGGGGATGTTGAGGCCATTTAACAGCCTTGTGATTCATTTAATGGTTTTCTTAAAAACTGTGAAACTGTAAAAATTGTCAAAAAAAATCAGGTCCAACTCAAGTTATAATCATGATTTACCAAAGAAATTCTGCTCCCAGTTGTGGTCATAAATCAAAGACTACCTGCACTGTGATTTTATAAGAAGAATAAGTTTTAATAACATGAATTCTATGCATGAATTACAATATGAACCTTCAAATTTCTAGAATTTGTTATGTTTAAAAGAGGACACTATAGGTCTTAATAGTAGCAGCCACAAAATGTCTTTCTAATCAACGTGTTGGAGAAGGATCATAAGATGCTTAAGCAATTATATAGTAAAAAGAGAATTATGGCACATATTTATACACTAATAAGGATGTCTGAAAAAAGAGGTGTCAACGTCCATCTTCCAAAAATCTTTAGCAAGATTCATATAGTTCAATTTAGATGATTAGTGATTAGCTAGGCAGCAAGAAAAGTAGATTTTACCAGCTATCTCAAAACACATAAAAGCATATGTAAAATGAATGTCTACTAAAGATTTTAAAATTAGGTCACACTCACCAGTGTGTTCTTGCTGCTCAGCAACCAGTGAAAGTAAGTTTTGTTGCTCTTCCATTAATCTCTGAATTTGCTCCATTTGCTGCCTCCTCAAAATCTCCTTTTTGTGGTGTTGCAGTTCTTTGAGCTTAAGTATAATTAGGTAGATTTATTCTTAGATCTTATGCATTAGACTAATGAGCTAATACAGTTAAGGGAAACAGTTTTCAGAAAACTTGTTCTGACCTAGGCTTCCCGAGAACATGAAACAAACTCCTTGCCCCGACAAAAACCCCTTTCCTTAATTTACTGTGAATTTTGCTCATTCACATCCAGCAAAGTCTTTCAAGGGAGGATTTACAGTCACAGTTACCTTATCTGGCTTGGAGAGCTGCCAGGCCGATATCTGCAAAACTTGGTAAGAAGTCTCAGAGAGTCACAAATCAATTAAGTGAACTAATTGTCTCCTGCAAACTCCACTCCCCTTTTGCTCCTCTTTTATTTCCTCTGGTAGGGGTCATTCATCGTCCACCTGTGGCCTTACTCCCAAGTCGACCCTTGTTCTTTAGCTGTTCCCTTCGTCTGGCAACTCTGTGCATTCACACACTGGGAACAGGTTCCAGCTGTTCATCTGCCTCACTGACGTCTGACTCTGAAGGCAGCTGATAACTG